GATCTACTCATCGGTGATGAAGTGCTGGTCCTCACAGTTCTCGCACATCGCCTACGAGTATAAGAGAGGTTACGGACAGCCTATCAATAGTCCGATGGCTGTCGTCATACAAGAGATGATTGGCTGCGAATCGGCGGGAGTTATGTTCACTTGTGATCCCATCACCGGTGATGAGAGGTTTCTGGAGATTACCGGCAATTATGGGTTGGGAGAAGTGAGTCCATAAGAATCATCTATAAAACTGTCAAATAATTTATTTAAAAAAACATTATTTTTATTTAACAGTCAGTGGTGTCGGCGTCTTCAGAACCGGACACAATCAAACTGTCGGTCAATATTAAGTCCAACTCTCTATCCAAACGAAGACATATCAACCGAATTGAGTCTAAAGTGATCGGACGGAAGAAGACGCTAATAAAATTGTCTGAAAGTGGGGGCACTGTCGAGGAAGTGGTTAGCGATACGAGTAATTGTTGTGTCAGTGATCAGGATTTGATGCGTTTGGGAGATATTGGGCTTAAGGTTTGGATTTGCAAATTGAGTAAATTTGATAAATACTATAATAATTTGTATTGAATTTCAATAGATTCACAAACACTATGGAAACGCGAGAGATATAGAGTGGGGTGTGAAAGGGGGACAAATATTTATGCTACAGTCGAGACCTGTCACCAATTTGGACAACTCGTACACGGATTATGAGATTATGCACGAAATGGACAGCCCCCACCAGACTGAGTTTGAGATCTACTCCCGGGCCCACTGGGGCGAGAACTTTCCCGGCGCCTCCTCCTGGTTGGTCTACACCTGGACTAATGCCAGCAAAAGTGGATTTTTTGTATGCAATAGTTAGCTATAATTAGTGACTTTTGTAATAATATTTGTATTTTTTGGTCAGAGTTTTGGTCTCGAATCGGGAATGTTTACTGAGGAGGACTACAACCCCTTTAGCCCGACAATGGCTGTCCAATACAACCAAATGATGTTTAACATGACAAATGTGAATGTTAATTATTTTGATATATTAGTAAATTGTTATTAACTTTTAATTGTATGTCATTTTAGGGAGGCATTGATATATTCAGCGATTATCCGGAGACAGATCGGGCGAAACAATTCGTTATCGCCTTCTTTGGGCATCACATCGACGACAAGGATGTGTTAGAAGCGTTCAAAGACTTGAAGAATGAGAAGAAGAAGTTATCGGTTTATACGAAGATTAAAGATTCCACGCGATTGATGAAGTGGTTACTGTTTGGTCCCCAATATTTGATCCAGGGCAAAACTCAATACATGGAGCACTTGAAGTTTGATATTGTGTCTGAAATGAAAAATTTATCCAGATCTAAGGAAATGTTAGATAAGATTATAGCTAATTTCCACGATGTGTCCATGGTACAGTTTCAGCATCATGCCCCAGTGTCTATTGGCTCAACCATTAAGCACCTGTTTTTAAGAAGTGCTTTAGAAGGAGCTAAAAGTCAGTAATTTTTAGTCAATAGTCATATAATTTGTAAATTAATTTTAATTTTTAATCAGAGGATAATCCGGAGTTGGAGTCAGACTTCAATTTACTGATCTCGTCGTGTAATGAAGTAATCAGTGCTGAAGTGCCTAATAGTTTGAGAGAAATTGCAAAATCAATCCGAGATAAGCATTCGTTTAAACAAATGAGTGATGAAAAGGCTATGAAAACACTGATGGAGGGCACGGATGAGAGCTCACAGAAGTTTAAACAGTTTTTGGATAAACACGGCCATAGAGGGTACCGGGAGTTTGATCCCATGCACCAGCCCTGGGCCTACAACCCTATCCCTTGCATTAAAAACATAAAAGTACTGAAAATAACTTTTAAAATTTCTATACACATATAGTATATACTACTAGTGTATATACATATACTATATATACGGTACAGTATTTATAATTTTTTATTTATTTTTTAGGCACTATTATCGGGAAGTAAGTCACAGCTGGAGCCAAAAGTAGCCAAATCTGTGGATCAAGTGGTGGATGAGCTGAAGACTCCGTTATCTTTTATGCGAAAATTGTTAATAAGAAAACTATGGCTTCCGTGGAGTCGGAGTGGTGTCGGTTATCGAGAGATATCCAAATATTTCATGATTTGGATGCAAAACAAACAAAAGCAGGCCTTCCGTTATTTGGCGCAACAGATGGTCTCCGAGGGACTCATACCGAGCGTCGACACCTTTTTCTACCTGACCGCTGAAGAAGTGGAAAGCCTTTGTAACGGATCCAGAGATGCCTTAATATTAGCGAAAGTGAGGCACAGGAGGAGACTGTACCCCAAAATGGATAAATACAAGTTCGACGAGTTTGTGAAGGGGCCAGACATGAGGCCCAGGAATGTATGAGTTTATGAAACTTATTTGTAATTAGTTTTTAAATTATGTTTTTTGGTTCAGTTTGAAGAGCGAGTTATTCCGCCGACTCTGAGCTCCGGTATGGTTCAGATGAAGGGAACGCCAGTTAGTAACGGATCGGTTAGGGCGAGGGTTTGTGTCTCTGAGGATATTACCGAAGCCGACAATATTCAGGTATTTTTTAAAAGTTTTTTGCTATATTTAATTGTGTTGTTGTTAACGAATAATTTTTTGATGAATAGCCGGGAGATATACTGATCACATACTCGACAGACATCGGTTGGAGTCCATACTTCCCTCTACTGTCGGGTATTATCACAGAAATCGGTGGAACCATATCTCACGGGGCAGTCATTGCCAGAGAATACGGTATTCCGAGTCTGATAGCAGTGGAGGGCGCCTGTAGTGCATTCAAAACCGGAGATATTTGTGTTTTGGATACACAGACTCAGACTATCACTAAAGTCGAGTGAAACTACTGTTTAAATGTGTATTAAATTTACGATGAACAAAATTTAGAAATTAATTATTATAAAATACATAGCTAAATAACTTTTATTAAATAACTGTTTTTAAACTTTAATTAATTAAAAACTAATTAATACTAGTAAATCAAAAATGTACATTAAACAGTTTTTATAATACAAAATTGCATAAATTTTTCTATTACTCGGAAAAGTCTTATGCAATTATTTTATATAAATATTTGATAGTTTTATTATTAATTAAAGAATAATTTAAAAATTAAATTTTAATTTGTACAATCTTATTAACAAATTGTAAGATTAACTGTATCTTTAATTAGGAAATATGTTCTTAAAATATTTTAATGAAGTGTATTTCCATTGTGTTGAAAATTAATTAGCTTATTATAAGTACAAATTAGTTAATAAAAGCTACTAAATTCAAGTTTTAATTTAAGACAATTAATAATTAAGAAGACCTATCTGTGAATGTAATGATACATAGAAATTATGCAAATTAACTGTGCTCTACAGTTAGTACTAAAAAATCAATTTGTATATAATTAAAACTTATCAAAAATTGGCTATTTAATTGACAAAAAATTATTAGGCAGTAATAAACTCTGTGTTTAGCTTGAACTGTGTTTCATTTTTAAAAACTTATCCACATAAAGTTTGCGTTAAACCGAAAAAACTAAAAAACATTCAATCATGTGGCTCAGCGACTCTATGTTATACAAAATTGATGATATGCTTGCTACAATTAACTATTGCTTATATGATTATTGGTTCGAATGCCAGGACCCTCGGTCCAAACACCTGCCATTTATTGACTATACACCCCTGCCCTTAATACTGGCCGTTATGGCGTATTATTTGGTCATTACACAGTTTATGCCCTGGTACATGCAGGACAAGGAGCCCTATAATTTACGAAAGACCATGCTCGGATACAATGCTTTTATGGCTGTTGGAAATCTGTGGGCATTCACCACATCTTTGGAATACATAGACTATGGCCGAGTATTTTTTAATGTAGACTACCCGTGCGATCAGACATCAACGCCTGAGACTAGGAAATTGATTATCTTGGGTAATATCAATTATAGTAATTATCTTGATTATATCACTTTTAAACTTTATGTTAATTATGTAAATTATAAGGTTATTTATATTTAATATCAAAACTGTTGGACTGGATGGACACCCTGTTCCTATGTCTGCGCAAGAAGTACACCCACATAACACTGCTGCACATGTATCACCACATGTCGGTGCCGGTGTTTGGGTGGGTTCTGATCAAATTGAACCCATTCATACCGGGAATGAGACTCTTCGGTCTCATGAATTCGTTCATACATTTCGTGATGTATTCCTACTATTTTTTGGCCGCATTTGGACCCGAAGTTCAAAAGTACTTGTGGTGGAAGCGATATATCACGCAAATGCAACTGGCTCAGTTTATTATACTGGGAATTTATGGCTATATATTCTTATTTTTCCAGAGAGGGTATCCCGTGTTCTGGCTATACGTGGGCGCCCCTCAGCCCCTGTTTTTCTTTTATATGTTTTATGACTTTTATAAGAAAACATACGTTGAGAAAAAAAATAGAGAATTGAATAAAAAAGTTGAATAGAGTTTGAAATGAATTTTTATATTGTCTGTCAGAAAATTATGATGTAGAAAATATTTTTGTTTATATTATAAAATCTTTGCTAAAATATAACAAATAACTATATAGAATTAAACATTAATAGTTTATTAAATTAATAAAGGTAATTTTAATAATTTACTTCAAAATGTAATTTGAAAGATTTTTAATTAAGTATAATTTACTAAAATTAACTTTAAGTTTATTTGTACCTATCTAGATATTTTAATGTTAATTAAAAATTTTATAAAAGAGTTAAATCGTTTTGAATTATCATTGTATTGAATTTGGAAATAAAACTATTGAATTTCATTTCATAATTAGGAAAACAACTAAACCAAAAACTTAATAAATATTTAGCTTTTATAACATATTTGTTATGCAATTATTTAGAATAAATTTATGTAAAAAATTTAAAACAAAAACAGAGTATTTTCAATTAGTTTACTTAATTATACCTCATTTAACAAGTTAATTAGTCAATAGAATTATGTATTTGTTAGTTTAAAGGTGATAGATACTTAAGAAATGACTAAACAAAAGTTGAACAGGGCAATAAGTGAAATATAAGACTTTTATTTAGGGAAACTATAGATTATTAATAAATACAAAGTACAATCATATTAAAATTACATACAATATAAAATTTTATTAAATTTCCTTAAACTAAAAAAGTTTGACCAACAAGTAAACGACCATGATCCAACTGGCAGACATCACCCCAAAGAAATAATTGAGTCCATTGTGAATGGATGTCAACCTCTGACCTCCATTTCCAGTCCTTTTCATACGGCTGTCTATCATGTCCTCCGAGGGTTTTCTCAGATCGTAAGCCAAACCATATTTGGCGCACAAATCGATGAAAGCTGTCGCGGGATTGAAAGCGTCTTTCCACCCGTACTCGGAGGCCGAGTAGTCATATGGGAAAGTGTGGTGATAGTTATGATAGCCCTCACCTAACCATCAAATTTATTGGTCATGTATTAGACTACTATTGATATATGAAGTAAAGGTATACCTAAAGCCAGATAAGCGACACATCGGTTCTCATTGGGCCTAATGTTGATGGTTAGGTGAGGGCTATCATAACTATCACCACACTTTCCCATAT